TATCTAAGTAGCACAACTGTAGCCCCTGTGTGGTAATAGCTACTTACCCTTGCTAGAGTGAATCCTGCATCAGGCTTCTTCCAAAGATAATCTCCACTAGACATGACATAGGAGGGGCTCTCGTCAGCTGACGTAGTGATCTGTGCCGCTAGCCTGTCAGGGAAGAAGCCTCCCCGAGGTAGGTCCAAGTTATTCAGCTCTATCTTCACCATTCTTGTGCCGTACAGAGGAGTCATTCCATCAGGCAAGCTGAGCTTGAGGATGTTCTTGTGACCATTAGGCACGACTGACTCTGTCTTCACTTCAGTGATGTCACCACAAACACTCGTTGAGTCGACGGCAGTGCATGTCACAGCCGGTTCTCTCTCCATATCCCATTCTAATAAGGGCCACATGTATATCCTTAGGATGCTGCCACCGACAATAGCTGACCGCTCGTTCTCTGAGCCTCTGATCATTAGTGTGAGCTGAGCTTCTCCAGCAGTGAGAGCTGTGCCGATGGTCAACTCTTTTACTTGGTTGCTGCCACCAGTTACTGTTAGACCTCCCGGTAACAAGAAATGCGGGTCCAAGACTCCCCCTGTTGGTACAGCCAGGCGAGTGAGCAGAGGTCGGCCTATCTCCAGAGCAGTGTACGGTGCGCTCTCCAAAGCTACCATGGATATGATGCGGATATATTCCTTGTCACCCGATTGGCCAACGAACCCGGCCATGTTCATAACTATTTTGTAGTTCGTATCGGGGCTCAACCCATTTCGACGATCGAAAACTATGAAGAACTCTCTGGAGGTGGCAAAAGAACGGTAGTAACAGCCTCTCGGCATGGGGAAGCCGTTTTCCGCGTCATCGCTCCATAGCTCCTTGAACAACTTGCCGCAGATATATTGTCGTGCCTCGTCAAACTCGTCTTCGCCCGTGTTGGCATCATCAATCTCAGCGCTCTCCATATCGGAATAGTATGCTTCTAGGAAGCCAGTATTGACAAAGATGATCTTCAGCTGGGTCAGCTCGGTCGACTGGGTGTACTGCTTGCCAACAGTTCCACCCGCCGTCTTGAATGATATGATTC